ACCCCACCTTGAAGTTTCGGGACCCCACTTTGGGTCCCGACCCCATCTTTGGGAAACACTGCTCTAAGGTGCCTCAGAAAGCAGAGTGGTACCACTTTTCTTTTTATGGTGTCCTGTAAATAAAATCCTGATCAATAAATTGGAAGCCTGAATAAAACATCAGAAAACMAGTTGGTTCTCTTTCAGAAGGCTTTATTSTCATCCGACTCCAACCAGGCSYACAGCAGCCACACAGCAGGGCTCAGAGTGGAAAAGGCCTTGGTCTTATCAGGACAGCAATAACAACAATAACACCCTGTCTAGCAGCTGGCGTCTGTGCCAGGCTGAATCTAAGAGATGACTGAATAATAATAACTGAATAATGACAAATCAACATCTTAACATGTCTGACTTCCTGGTCATACCCCTGCAGGTGGTACCTTTTACTTCAGACATTTGAATGGAACCACCTTTGTTATGCAGACAGAAAGGCCTCATATGATACGACACATTAACAGTCATTCTCTTTTTAAACCATATGACTGCAATGATCAGAATGTAAAATAAAAGACTGCCCCCTACCTAGACTGCCAAGTTACGTGGTGGAGAGGTTTGAGTGTCCCAGTGATCCTAGGAGCTATCTTGTCAGAGGCTTCATGCCCCCCGGTAGGGTTACCCAAGGAACAGGTCCTAGGTGAGGGATCAGACAAAGTCTTCTTATGACGAGTGCAATAAATGGATTCAGTGTTCCCTCACCCGGATGCAGGTCACCTGGGCTCCACCCTGGAGACAGGCGTGGAAATAGGGCACGCTGGTAAGCACCTGGTGGCCAGGCTTATGCCTATGGAGCCCTGCCGGGTATAAACTGAAGAGGAGATGTGGTCCTYCTTCCCATGGGCTCACCACCTGTGGGAGGGGCCATAGGGGTCAGGTGCAATGTGTGTTGGGCAGTGGTCGAAGGTGGGGATGTTGGCAGTCTGATCCTTGGCTAGAGAAGCTGGTTTAGGRACGTGGAATGTCACCTCTCTGGTGGGGAAGGAGCCTGAGCTGGTGTGTGAGGTTGAGAGGTTCCAACTAGATATAGTTGGACTCATCTCAATGCACCGCTCTGTCTTTGGAACCAGTCTCCTCCAGAGGGGTTGGACACTCTTCCACTCTGGAGTTGCCCATGCTGAGAGGTGCCAAGCAGAAATGCACATACTTATTGCCCTCCATCTCGGTGCCTGTATGTTGGGGTTCACCCTGGTGAATGAGAGGGTAGCCTCCCTCCTCCTATGGGTGGGGGGACGGATCCTGACTGTTGTTTGTGCCTATGCGCCTAACAGCAGTTCAGATTACCCACCCTTTCTGGAGTCCTTGGAGGAGGTGCTGGAGAGCGCTYCTAACGGGGACTCCCTCGTTCTGCTGGGGGACTTCAGCGCTCATGTGGGTAATGACAGTGAGACCTGGAGGGGCGTGGTTGGGAGGGACGCCCCCCTGACCTGAATCCAAGTGATGTTTTGTTATTGGACTTCTGTTCTCATCATGGATTGTCCATAATGAACACCATGTTCAAACATAAGGGTGTCCATATGTGCTCTTGGCACCAGGACACCCTAGGCCGCAGTTCAATGATCGACTTCGTTGTCATTTAATCTGATCTGTGGCCACATGTTTTGAAAACTCAGGTGAAGAGAGGGGCAGAGCTGTCAACTGACCACTACGTGGTGGTGAGTTGGCTCTGTTTGTGGGGTAGGATGCCGGTCAGACCTGGCAGACCCAAACGTATAGTGAGGGTCTGCTGGGAACATCAGTCAGAGTCTCCCATCAGACGAAGCTTCAACGCAGACCTCCGGGAGAACTTTGAACACGTTCCGGAGGAGGTGGGGGACATTGAGTCTGAGTGGGCCRTGTTCCATACCTCCATTGTCGAGGCGGCAACCCTCAAACCAGCTGGTGGACATCGGCGGTGAGGGATGCTGTCAGGCTGAAGAAGGGGTCCTAACGGGTCTCTTTGGCCTGTGGGACTCCGGAAGCAGTCAATAGGTATCGGCAGTCCAAGCGGATTGTGGCTCGGGTGGTCGCTGAGGCAAAAAACTCGGGTGTGGAAGGAGTTCGGAGGGGCCCTGGAAAAAGACTTCCGTACAGCTTCTGGGTGATTCTGGTCCACTATCCGGCGTCTCAGGGGGACGAAAGTGGTTCACCACCAACAATGTTTATGATGGGGATGGTGCGTTGCTGACCTCAACTCAGGACATTGTGGGTCAGTGGGCAGAGCTCCTCTGTGGCAAGGTGCCATGGGTGGATGAGATTCACTCGGAGTTCCTAAAGGCTCTTGATGTTGTGGGGTTGCGTTAGTTGACGCAAATCTACAATTTTGCGTAGACATTATGGGCAGTTCCCCTGGATTGGCAGACCAGGGTGGTCCCCCTATTTAAGAAGGGGGACCGCAGTGTGTGTTCCAACTACAGAGGGATCACACTTCTGAGCCTCCCTGGTAAGGGAGTATGGGGTACCAGGCCAGTTGATATGTGCTGTATGGACAGAATTTCAAGGAGCAACCAAGGTGTTGAAGGGATCCATTTTTGTGACCTCAGGATCGCATCTCTGCTTTTTGTGGATGATGTGGTCCTATTGGCTTCATCAGATCCTGATCTCCAGCTCTAACTGGAGCAGTTCACAGCCGAGTGTGAAGCGGCCGAGATGAGGATCAGTGCCTCCAAATCTGAGACCATGATCTTGATCTGGAAAAGGGTAGGGTGCCTTCTCCGGGTCGGGGAGGAGGTCCTTCCCCAAGTGGAGGAGTTTAAGTATCTCGGAGTCTTATTCATGAATGAGGAAAGAATGGAGCGGGAGATTGACAAGTGGATTGGTGCTGCGTCTGCAGTGATGCGGGCGTTGTACCAGTCTGTCACGGTGAAGAGAGAGCTGAGCCAGAAGGTGAAGCTATCAGTTTACGGGTCAATCTTTGTTCCTACCCTCATCTGTGGTCATGATTTTTGCGTAGTGACCAAAAATTTACACAAGGAAGAACCGATCTCTCATCACACTCACGGTTCAAGAATTATTGAAACAGACTATAGTTTTTACAGAAGTTGTGCCACATGGTGTGCTGACCGGATCAGTGAGCAGGTCCAGACAGATGGAGCACAGGAACTGATCCTCAGACCTCAGGTTGCACGTGTTGTTCAAACTGAATCAGGTGAAGTCCAACTGATCTTTGAGTGACTTTGTTTCATTCTCCATTCTGCCTGGACCCTCTTCTTCACCTCTTTACCACAYTCCCTTTTCTCCTGGACAGTGGACTCTACGTCCTTGAAGTCCTGCACCTTTGGGACCTCTGCTTCTTGTAGCCTCACTGTTCCACCTGCCTCACTCTCATCCACACCTGTTGTCTGTTTTGATAYGGCTAACTTTCATTCCTCTGCATACCTCCACCTCTTTAAGATCTCTTCCACCTGTTATCAWCACAGATCAGGTCATCTGCAAACATAATCATATCTGCGCAAAACGTTTTTCCTCTATTTATAGTAAAAAGTTGGTGTTTTGTTAACGTTCTGTTAAAGTTGTGAACAGAAAAATAAAAACAGCTGTTTGTTTGACAGTTCAGACAAATGAGTCTGGTGTTGCAGACTAATTCTCAATTATCCAGAAAACTCTCAGTCAGATGTTGTCCTTCTGCCTGTGGGGAAGCTGAATCACTGTCATACCAGCTCCATCTGAAAGCTGCTGGTTTTCCCCTCGACTTGTCACTACACGCTCCTTAAAATAACTCCACRCACAGTGAATATGAAACTGTGAAAGACAGAAACATGAAAAAAAGTGCAATCACATGTCTGGGTTGTAAGTCTGTGTTTTTTGAGCATGTGTGTTTACGCCACCAGTCTCAGCCAGGAAAAGTGGGAGAAGAAGAGGAGAGGTGGACCACGGTGTGGTTAACCTCATAACGTCACGAGCTCTGCAGGGATTGGCTGCTGCTGGAGGCTGAAGGCTTTATAAACCAACCGGGAGCCTCGACTTCAGCAGCAGCAGCATCGACTCAGAGGACCAGGAGATTTAAAAAAACAGAGTTCTGCTAAAATCCTGCAGCTTCCTTCAACTGCAAACAAGGTCAGAGCAAATTCATCAAGGTTTTTCTTTCTGTATTCAGTCTTAAGACTTTTCTGCAAATGTTAAGTTTTCAGTTTATGTGAAGCAGTTTGAGTTAAAAACTGAACARGTTTTATGATGCAATAACAGATAAATGTTGATTTATTTATCTAAAAAAAGCTTAATTTAACTAAATTAATGCGACAGAAAATGTTTGCTTTGTTACACAAATGACTGGTCCTTGTTTGTGTAATTGGTTTATGCTCTTGTGTCTCAATAAGATTTAAATTTATCAGCYGAGAAACTTTACTCTTAGCTGATTAGAGGAAATAGTTTTTAGTTGGAGTTTTTCTTGTTAACACAAACTAACAAATGAAAGTGGAACTTAWTTTAATTTTAAACCCTTCTAAAAATATAACCTTTATTATAATCTAAACTTAGCCATTTGATGTAACTTTTACAACTCATTTCATTTAAATGAACTTTTTTAGTTTTTAATATGTCGTTTTAGACCGAAGTCTAAGATCCACATTAAAAGATTTTGAATAACTTAGATTTTTTACGACCAACTTTCATATAAACTTCAATTCAAACTTGTAAAATCCACTTTTATTGAAGATTCTGTGTTTTTATTGTAGATTATAAAATGTTTTACAATCTTTTTGGTACTATTTTCAGCTGAAAACAGAGTAGCTCTGTTTGTCTGTCTTAAAGAAATGTTAATAACAGCAGGGACAATAAACTCAATAAATGTGTAACATTATTAACTCCAACATTTTAAGTTTTGAGCTGATACGTTATGTTTTATTGCTGACAGTTGTTTTTTATTTACTTTAGTAATGTTAGAYTTTGCTGCTCAACTATCTGTATCAATTGTAGTAATGTAGTTATCATCTTTTATTAAAACCAACTTTATTAATTTAAAGTAACAATYAAATCATATCCTTTAAAACAGTCTAGTGTAGACCAGACAAAGAATGTCCCCGCTGTTAAGATCAAAAACTTTGTTCTCACAGAAACAGCTGGATAAGAACACACACATAAACACACTCTACAATGACACACACTAACATGGTCCTCACAAAGATAACAGCATGTTAGCATTATAGCTAACCATGCATTACTCTAATCTATCACAACCATAAAACTAAAACAGAATAATCAAAACAATTTTTTTTAGAAAACCAAAACATAAAAAACAATGTCTCCACTTTGTTTTAAAGAATATGGTTCCCACACACAGAGTGTACAAGAACACTTATTAGCATTACAGCTAACTATGACACCAAGTTTTAACTATTATAGCCACAGACCAACCTATAACCTAAAAAAGACTTAAAAAGATAAGAATGTTGCMACTGTAATAGTCTGATTTTCACAAAGTTCAGTGAACAAAAGTACACACACCATTACAGTTAACCACTCATTTAACTCGTATTTAACATAACCATAAAACCAAACCTCAACCCTCAAAACAAACTGTCAACTAACGTACSCACTTCGAAGGTCAAAAACACGGTCCTCACAACAGTAGGTGTGCAAGAATGCATGTTCCTCTGACTTTAATCCAACACAGTAAAATTAAACTGCAACCATCAAAACAAAGTTTGGTTTGTAAAGAAAACCAGAAAAGAATGTTCCACATTGAGGGACAAGAGTATAACCCTCAAACACATGAACACATTTAGCAGTTATACTGAACAAATTTTAATCTGCCAATACAAAAACTGTAACTATCAAAACAATTTCATTGGAAAGGAAAAAACTAGACAAGAATGTTGATTGAACCTATCCTTCAYAACAATAACAGCATTTTAGCATTAAAGCTAATCATGCATTGCTTTAACTTTAGGCTATYTTTACCATAAACCAAACCTCAGCCCTCAAAACAAACCTTTTAAAGAATAAATGTCAACCAGACAACAATGTCCCCACTTCGAAGGCCAATAATATGGTCCTCACAATGATAAGGACATGTTAGCATCATAGCTAACCATGTTTAACTTTAATCTATCATTACCATAAACCAAGCCTCAACCCTCAAAACAAACTTTAAGAATAAATGTCCATCAGACAACCATGTCCCCACTTTGAAGGTCATAACTCTGGTCCTCACAATGATAGGTATACAAAAATGTGTGTCACTGTAATTTTAATCTAAAACGATACAGAAAAAATTGTAAAGCAAACATAATATCCTCTGATAGTTAAGAAAAAGGCCCTGAGGACATTTTAGCATTACAGATGAGCTAACAGTGCTTTACTCCAATCATTACTATCAAACCCAAACTAAATAAAAGAGAAATAAAACCAGACGATAATGTTCTACATTAAAAGGTAAGAGTTTAACCTTCATAAAGATGAGCGTATTTTAGCAGTTAAATCTAATTAAGTTTTACTCTAACTTTAATCCAACAATAAAACCAAACTATCAAAACATTTTGAATGGAGAAGAAGAAAACTAGACAAGAATTTTGATGGTTAAGAACACGTCCCTCACAACAATGACAGCATTTTAGCATTATAGCGAATCGTGCATTGCTCTAACTCCAGGTCATCTTTACCAAAAACCAAACCTCAGCCCTCAAAACAAACTTTTTAAAGAATAAATTTTATTCTGGTTGACATTTAATGTCAACCACACAACAATGTCCCCACTTTGAAGACAATCACAATGGTAAGGACATGTTAGCATCATAGTTAACCATGTTTAACTTTAATCTATCATTACCATAAAGCAAACCTCAACCCTCAAAACAAACTTTAAGAATAAATGTCCATCAGACAACAATGTCCCCACTTGGAAGGTCATAACTCTGGTCCTCACAATGATACGTATACAAGAATGTGTGTTTCTGTAATTTTAATCTAAAACAATGTAGAAAAAAATTGAACACCAAACAATGTCCTAGTTTGATAGTTAAGAACATGACCCTCACAGTGATAAGGACATGTTAGCATCATAGTTAACCA